GGTCAGTATGTGGAATAATCTGCTCAAGGACGTTTTCTCCAGTTCGACTAATATTAAGCAGTTCAAAAATCAGATCATTGAAATAGCTATCTGATATTTTAAACATACTAAGCTTTTTCGTCATTGGCATGTTAACAACCTCCTCAATATCTGAGCGGTACTAAGGCGAATGTCATATGATCAGTATTTACTATGATGCATTAGTATTTAGCATAGAATTTGATATTATTTATTGACGTAAAGCCATGACGTCAGTAATTACAGTATAAGCTTACTTGGAAATCCACTGACACTGACGGAATGATCAGTAAATACATATGATTCGGACCATGGTAATTATTGAGAGTGTGATATTTGCCTAATAATATTACTCCATTATTTTATCTGAGTATCTTCTGAATGACAATTCAACTTTTAGTAAAGCATATTGTCAGCTTTGCCCTATAAACCCTAGCTTAAAGGATAAAAGCGCACTTGTAGGAGGATCACTGTCGGATAAGATCAACATAGGGCGCGTGTCACCCCTTGTAGCATTTAGGAAGTATTTGTTTTGACGAGGTGACGTTTTGACTGCGCAAATTAAAAGCGCCAGACCGCATAATAGGATGACGCTGAGGGAGAGAGGGATGAACAAAGCGTGTTCCATATGTCTCTAATAATATTATAATCGCGGGGTGGAGATCCGCGTAAAATAGGGGTGCCGATACTCCCTACCATACGCCGAATTAAGTGGAACAAGTGAAGTTTCAGAATAACTTTATGATTTATGGTGAATTGTTATTGCTTCAGATATATCAGAATCCAGGATGGAACGACTCAAAGGCTAAGACGGAAATGCTTGCCAATATCTTTTCTGCCAGCTCCACCCTCGACGCCCCTCCCATACGCTATGCGGGAAGTAACCTTCAGGTTACAAAGCTACTGGTGTGGAGTTGATTTCTGCTGTTACGTATCTTGAAAAGTGACATTATGTGGTTTTTTTGACATTATATTGTTTTTTTGTGACATTATATAGGTTTTTCTACGATATTTTAACTTAACACTGGACACTTGTTGTGAACTCGTTTTGCCGTTGTACGTTTTGCCTAAACGTCATATACTTCAGTTAACAATGTTTGGCTCTGATGAGATGTAAAATCTACTTCCGAGATGGCATTATTGGAGGTCTAAGCTGCGAGTTGTTTACTATAACTACAAGGAAACCGCAGCGCATAGGTGCATAGTGAGTGCTGAATTCAAAAAAGAAAGATAAGAAACGAAAATCCCTGATTGGTGAAGGAACAGGTGAGAAAATATACGAAACATATACGAAAGTGAGGTTATTACATTATTTTTTATTTCCAGTCATTTAAATTTTATAGAAATGTATTTTGCGATGTCAATAGAAAATACAAATCAGCGCCTAACTGTGAGGCATTGCGTCAATGTTTGATGTGTGGTGCGTCATTCCTAATTTTTTGAAAACACAATAAACGGGAAAAATTGTAATTTATAACTTTGGACATAAACTGTCTTCAACAAGGACAACATATAAATAACCCGTCAATTTTCTCACACAGCAAATATCACTGATACTAATACACATAATCATCCAGATGCGATCTTGTTATTTAACCAACTTTCTTTCACAGACTACTCGGCTTCAAAAAACATATACCTGCTTACTGCAACCAACAATGCGTGTAGTTGCGTTATTCCTCCATAGATGGACGCTCAGAGCGACCATAGCGACCAAACGTGGAATGATCTATTTGCACCCTGAAAACTACATAGTCTGTCAAATGACAATTTATTGGTTTTTTGACGTTTTATAGGTTTTTTACATAATAGTCCCTAAAAAAGGATCTAAGACTGACCCTTACAGCTACAGGCCAATAGCTCTTACTTTTGTTATAGCATTGATTAACGTATTCCACCTTATGGAATAAGTTAATAATGATTAATTAAGGTAAGGTGATGGAGAGGCTCATAAACTCATAATTTTGTTTCGACTCAAAATTCAGCGGATGGAAAACAGACGCCATCTTCCTTTTAATACGTTCACTAGATAATTTTGATTGACAGTAATAATTGGTCCCCAATAATTTTCGATGTTTGTACGTAATCTTTGTGTTAACAAAACAGTCACTGTTGACATGAATAACACTTGATTCATGGATCATGAAGCAGATGCACTTATATTGGTTTTTAATTAGTAGATATCCCAAGTAAATTATAATAAAGCTACAGCGCACGAACTAATCTGTAGCTTAATTTATCAAGCGACACATCTTCCTTGAAAATGCAATGCCCATATGACAACAACTTATTGTTTAGAGACTTTTCATTGAGAGACGAAACTGGAATCCATAACAATTCATACTTCAAACAACATTAACTTAGAAGCAGAAAAATAAAAGTTCGATCAACTACTATTTTGTTGATTTCAACTGCTAGAAGGGGGGCTCGAGAACCCTCCAAGAGATCACCAGAAACATATAGCCCCCAACTTTTTCCATTTAAAGAAAAACAAAAGTAAATATTTACAATTAAACGGTAATGTTCCTAGAATGTGATTTGCTACAATTTGGGCGAGGAGTGATTTTTCTTCTTAATACTGTTATCCGTTTTTAACCAGTTGCTTGCCGATTCAATGAAATAATATTTCTGGGTGTTTTTGTTCGCCACGAAGTTATTGATCAACCTCCCTGCACCTGATAGCGTACATCCAGAATTTATGAAATCAATTATCCAGTCGGCGTTGCTGTGAATACCGCCCTAAAGCCAGCTCCGATTCGCTCTGGCCATGGCAAATTAGCTCTGATATTAAAACACCCCTCAGCCCCCATTCAAGTTACGTCACGTGCGAAGGCTTAATATTCCTATAACTAGGGGCAGTTGTATCACTGCCTGCTCTATTTATGAATTTCGTTTTGTCATAGGAATCGCCAGGAGATGTTGACATATTATGCGTTATGATTCCTTTATTTACTGGATAAAAGTAACAAATAAATCTTTGTTTTGTTTGTTCATGTAATTCATAAAATATTTTTTTATTGCAGAGTCAATCATCATTAGTTTATTTCAAGTTTTAATGTACTCTAAGTCATTTAACTTAAAGAACGTAAAATAAAAATATTTCATTAAAAATCAAATATAAAACAAAGAACGTTTGTAATATAATTTCAAATGAAATTTTAGAAGTTTTACACCGATATCAAATAAGTGGCCAATAACTGTTTAATTTAATTACAAAGAGTTTATATTACAGTAGTAGATGGTCGAAATAATTAATGACCTCAAAATATAGTTATAATGAAATCTAAGTTATTAACAATAATTAAATTGAGAGAAAAAGGATGGGGTGCATTATACTACATTTTCATAGCTCTCCTCTCATAGATAGTAAAGTTGCCAATAGAACGATTGTAACTGTTATCAAATTATTGCATTCTCATCGGACCTTGATACGTGTGCGAAGTTTCAAATTAATCAAGCTTCTGGAATATGGTGAAAATTATCCTAAACATTTGCATAATAGAGTAAGGGACAGAATTGCATTGAGCATCAAAAAAGAGCTCATTCCTATTGTGGAACAAGCAAAAAATCTTGCTGTCATCTTTGACTCTAGTTTAAGATTATACAAACATGTGTGTCATCTATCGAAGTCCACCTACATCAAATTAAAACTGCTGTATGCTAATAGATTCATTTTGAACTTCAAAACGCGTAACAAGTTAGTTGAAAGTTTGATAATGTCCAACCTCAACTACGCTTTAATCTTATACTATCCTTGTCTTGACTCGACTGCTGTAGGTTTATGTATGGTCTTCGAAAATATAGTCATGTCTCATGTCTCCTCTAAGATCAAGGAGTTGAAATGGCTAGAAATGGGTCAAAAATTTGAATATAGTCTTAAGGTATTTGTGCATACGATATTGTGCACTAAGCCCATCTACCTCTATAGTAAATTGGTAACTAGAGGAATCATTAATCTTAGAGATTTGAGGCACAATAATAATTGGACAATGCCTTTGCACTACACCGCATTGTTTCAAAAATGTTTCACTTTCAATGCTGTGAGGTTATACAACTTTGCCTGGAGAAGCAAAAGTGTAGTAACATTCACGAAGTTGGTTAAAAATTAGCTGTTAGATGTATCGTGATTAGTTGTTATTATCTTTATGTTTTTTTTTGTGTTATCATCCGTTCAGTATTGGTTCTTGACTGGTTCCTTTTTGATAAACCGATATAGCACGGATTTATCAATAATTGATTGTATTTTTTCCTTTATTATTAGCTCTCTTACTTGAAAGCCAGATCGATGTATTTATTTTTAGGTTGCATGTATGTGACTTTGAATTGTATACATATTTTCTCACACAATAGGGTTGGGCGTAAGAGTAGCCAACTGGCTAAACTTCGCCCTATTGTTGTGTTACTAATAAAGATATTTATTATTATTATTAAAATTATGCTCAAAGGTTTGGTTACATACGTACATACATACATGCCAAGCTTATAAAAGCGTGTTTAAAAACACAATCGTGTTTATTCGATGATGATCGGCTAAATGATATACTCTTCCAAAAGTTGTAGCATGTTTCATTACAAATATTTTAGTAAAACTTGTTTATTGTTATATATTTGTTATTATTTATAGTTTGTTAATTACGGGAATAAAACATAATGTAAAATGGCAATTTGAAATATCTGAACATAGAATATTATCATCAGAAAAGTCATATTAACAAGATATTTTTTATCGAAGAGTTCCTGACACTTTTTTTTAAATAACAATAAAGTAGTTATTAGTATTTGGATATATAGTTTACATTACTGTTCATAGAAATTCTATATTTTCTTTGTACGTAAGTGTAGGTGTAGATAAGTACTGACTGACGTGAAAATGACAGGAAGTCAGTTTGTGGCCATAAAAATGACGTCAATTACGTTTCCGACCAAAAGTGACAGAATAATGACGTCATTTTGGCGTATTGTCACTGGGATTCGTCCTTATTCGATGACTTAAGAACAACTATACGACCACTACTTTTTTTAGTTTTTTGTATACTTAAACCTCCACGGAGGTTCGGGGAGGGTCTTCTGGGGTTGGGCCCATTGAGTCTTTTGATTGTAATGTTGAAAAAAAATTCAACTGATTTAGCCTAAAGCTATTTTCAATAAGAAAACTGCGGGGTTTTTCAAGTATTGTATGTATACGTTAACGAAAACATGACCTCCCTGTAAACAACAATGGGTACTTAAAAACAAATATTTATTAATCAAAATACAAACAATACCTCACTTATGTAACCGTTCCATTATTATTACTATCACTATTATCACTTACTTTCTTCGTTTTAAACCCATCTTCAATTTCATGCAACGGCTTCCCTCTAGTCTCTGGTAAAAACAACGCTACGAAAATCGTACCTAAAAGCGCTACGATACCATACACCAAGAAAGTTCCGCTACTCCCAATCGACCTGAACATTCCTGGACTGGTTTTCACGACAGAAAAGAATGCTGTGAAAGCCATGAAAGAACAAATGCTACTACCAGTACTTCTAAATTTAAGCGGAAAGAGCTCACCGATTAGAGCCCATGGCAAAGGAACGAAACCTATAGAGATTGTTGCAATGTAGAGGAAGAGACAGAGTACTGGAACCCAGTTCAAGGAGAACTCAGGGTACATTTTTGAGAAAAATGTAAAGAAACTCAATGTGAATAGAGATACGAATGTTCCTACACCACTTATAAGTGCTAAGGATCTTCTGGTGCAGTTTCTTAATAGAATACAAGCAATGACTGACATTATGACTCTCACAGCATCTACCAGTAACATAGCAAGATATTCATCCAGACCATCCCCTATAGTATCCTTCATTATTGCGACTGTATAGAAAGTTATGGCATTCACTCCTACCCATTGATTTGCTACAATGTATACTATTATTATAACCAAAGGTTTCCAAAATTCAGGTACAGCTAGCTCCTTGAAACTGATCTTAATATCCTTTTCTGCCTCTTGCCGCTGCAACATGATGTTGAGTTCTTTTACCGCGTCGTCTGAGTACCCCCTGCACCAATGGAAAGCATGCTTGGCTTTTTCTTGCCTGTTCTTCTTCGCCAACCAACTCGGTGATTCTGGTACAAATAGCAGGAGCATGAAACTTGTGAGAGATATCAGGGCGGATAGAAGAGCAGTCATTTGCCAGTGTAGATATGTACCCAGTAGATGTACTAGGAACAAACCTGAAAGACACATTCTAGTTTTGTTAGAAGTACATGCAGGGCGTCCAGTAAGTACCACGACAAACTTGAAGAGAAAGTAGGTTTTTCACTGACCTCCCAAATAAAAACTTACCTATATAAAAGTGTCACTGTTTTTGAGATATTGAATTTTTTCTTAAATTTTAAGAAAACGAAACTTTTCGTTTGTGGTCTTTAGCTGCATGTAATAAGGTTATACTTTGTTTATTTTTTCTTTAAAATACTCTAGATAGTTGCTTTATCATATACTAAGTGACATATAAATCTGAACACCCAGTTTAAATGGTTTTATTTTAATAAAAGTTGGTGAATGTATTTATCCTACTGTAAATAACAAGTAAAAAAATTTTCAGCCTTATCAGTTGGACATTCCGGTTTTTATACTGTTTTTTTTTTAATTCACTAACGCTCTAAAAATGCCTTGAGTACGGAGACCTGTACGATTTCGTCAACTTAGTGAGTTTTTATAGGGGCCGTATAGTGGGACTTCGGGAAGCTGGACTTTCTTTTCGGGCAATTGCAGTTAGAGTGCAAAGAAGTGTAGACACTGTGGTTAGGTGTTGTCAGGCATGGCTTCGAGAAGGCCGTACACAAAGAGCAAGGGGCACTGGACGCCGCCGTAGAACAACAGACCGTGAAGATGGCCGCCTAAGATTATTGGCCTTAAGGGACCGTTTCTCCACTACCAGGTCCATTGCAAATGAATGGTTTGCAGAACACGGAAGACCTATTGGCATGCGAAGTGTTTACCGACGAATGAGAAGTTGGCTTGTTTTCATACCGGCCACACTGGGTCCTCCCTTTAACTCGAGAACACCGACGTAATCGCCTTGAGTGGTGCAGACAACGGTCACTCTGGGATCAGGAATGGAACAGTATTGTCTTTAGTGACGAGTCTCGATTTTGTTTAGGCATGCACGATGGTCGTGCCAGGGTTAGAAGGCGACGTGGTGAAAGGAGGAATCCACAGTTTTTTGTTGAAAGACATGCTCATCACACTGTTGAAGTTATGGTTTGGGGTGCTATAGCCAGGTCACCTTTAATCTTCATCAGAGGTAACATGAACGCACAGCGTTATATCCACGAAGTTCTAGAACCCCATCTTTTACCCTATCTTGACACCCTGGCAGATCCAACTTTCCAACAAGATAATGCCCGACCACATGTTGCAAGAGTCACAATAGACTTCTTTCAACATAATGATGTCACATTGTTACCATGGCCACCAAGATCTCCCAACTTATCCCCAATTGAGCACGTGTGGGATATGATGGGTAGGAGATTGCTCAATTTGCAACGCCCTCCTCAGACTCTAGAAGCACTTCAAGAGGAGTTGGTGGTTGCCTGGAATGGGATACCACAGGAGGACATTGACCACCTGATCAGAAGCATGCCTAGGCGCGTTGGAGAATGCGTAGCACATCAGGGTGCATCCACACATTATTAAAGGTCAAAGGGCTTTAAAGCAGTGCAATCATTTTGAATTTTTTATCATTTACTTATTATGCTTCATTAAGTACTTATACAAAATTTTATTAAAACAAAACCATTTAAACTGGGTGTTCGGATTTATATGTCACTTAGTATACAAATGCAATGTACTCGTAGTTAAAAGATATTAAGGAACCATGATAAGATAAGGACTGTTTTGGGATTTATAACCTTTTGATATTTTCTCCTCAACTTTCATAAAATCATATCAGGAGCAGGTAATAATAATTTATTTTTGTACTATTTAGCATGTCACTGATCGGTAAAAATAAATCCAATAACTACATTGTAGTGTGTTACACTTACAAAAGCAGCTAACATTATTCAATATATTGCAGTTATAGGCCAGTACATTTTTGTTTCACCACAGATGGTCAAAGTTGAGAAAAAAATATCAGAAGGTTATAAATCCCAAAATAATCCTTATTTGATCATGGCTCCTTAATATCGTTTAACTACATTGCATTTGTGTATGATAAAGCAACTATCTAGAAGTATTGCAGCCAAAGACCACAGATGAAAAGGTTCGTTTTTCTAGAATTTACAAAAAAATTCGATATCTCAAAAACGGTGACACTTTTATATAGGTGAGAGTAAGAAATTGTTTATTTCGGATGCTCAAACAAGATACGAAGATAATCCCAAATGTAAGGCGTCAAATTTTTTTAAAAGTTCAAAAAACATTTATTTCCAATAAATGATACATCATCAGAGAGTAGGACTCCATTGTCTGGCTGATTCAATACCACAGATTTTTAGCTGATTGGACAACTTTTCGGCCACCATTTCATGAAACCATAATTGCAATTTTAAGATGGCACCGCGCAAAACCTGCAATGCCCAGGACCACGTTGGTTAGGCATTCCCGCTCCCAAAAGGACGTCCAGCTCCCACAAAGAAACAAGCGAGTAAGATGTTATATGTCGTTTCTAATGTACCAGACACGTCACCCTCGTCCATCGTTCCGAAAACACCAAAAGCCCCCTGCAAGCGCGAAAATCCACCTAATTATTCTCGCAGAACACGGGATAATTCCGTGGTACCAGGGAAAAAGGGGATAGGTCAAAATTTGTTCAAAATGGGATGTCCATTTTTTTTTCTTAAATTAACATTTTGTGTAATTGCGTCCAGACGTATAAAAGGAGTTATTTCTTTCTAACCTACCTCTAAAATTTCAAGGCTGTATATAGGTACCCGATTTCAGAACAATACTTAAACTTTATGTCGAATCACGGATAATTCTAAAAAATAGACTTATCCCCTTCTTCCCTGGCACCACGGAATTGTGATACAATCTTCGACTACAAATTCTGAATGTGCATTGTTTATGGAACTGAAATGCAAAATACGGTACTTCGGCATCTACAGGTAATCATCATGTTTGACTTGTAAGGAAATCAAACCCGTATAAGACAACAGCAGTTTGCCCTTGAGATGGCGAAGTAAAGCATCGGGAAATTTGAGTTCAAAAAACAAATCATAACAAAAAACCTGGGAGCAAAGAAAATCATGATCCATCAGTCGGTTTGGAGAATATCATTTTGATCTTTCTTCCAATAATACTCAAGCAAATTGGGTCACAATCCACAGAACTAGAAAGACAATTGTCGATTAATTTTATATACGCTGATTTCTTTCTTCTGTAATTGTTATCATGTTTGTGCAATATTGACACTTATTCTCGGTTATATATGTGGTTTTGATCTGGCCAGACAATAGAGTCCACGGAACATAAAAACCACAGGATAATGGATGCATCCTAACATCAGAAACTCGAGATTCTTACACACCTCTTGCAACCCGCAATTTGTAATCGCTATAAATTTTTATCTAAAAATGATCAGTAGTCTCTGAAACGTCAAAAAACGTATTTTGAGCTATTTCTATTTTTCTTTTGTTATTTGTCACTTAGCTCCACCGCCACTCAACCCCTGTTCAAAAAGTACAAAGCTTTTTCGTTCTTGGCACAGCAGTAACCTTGTGTGAAAGTTTCATCCAAATCCAAGTTACAGACGGGCCAATGATTAGCGGACAGAGCGATATACAGACCGACGTAAATGAGTGACATGGTTTTTCGTGAAGTACATGTCATATAACATCTAAAAAATATATCTCGTTTTCGGAATTTTTCGCGATTACGCGGTGGGCGTGGGAAGTAAAAATGTGGATGGTTTCCCCTTTGCAAATCGTGCCACATTCTTGGCATACTCAGAATGCAGAAACGATAATATCAGCCGATTTTATAACACGAACGAGACCCTTTAGTAGCTTTAACAGACTCGATACCCAGGGGCATCATGAAAGATAGCATAAAGAACAAAACTATGTACTGAGGATGTTTACTCACCGAAAGATATCGCGAAAGATATTCCGGCTAGAAAGAAACCTCTGTGTTTTGGCTCTGCGGTTTCTCCTAAGTATACTCCGGTAGCGGTTCCAAGAATACCAGCACAAAAACCTAAAATCGAAAAGAATTTCTAAATGTAAGTTTCCGATTGATAAATACAACGTGTTAATAAAACATCTGGCCAAACCTCTCGCATTTTACACCACTTATTTAGATTACCTGTTAGGAATCTTCCGACCAAGATCATCTTAGTGTTGACAGCTACGTATATCAAGAGCCATCCTTGAGCTGTAGGAAAACAAGTAAGTAAATGGGTGCCCCGCCTTCCAAATTTCTCCAAGAGAACTCCTCCCAGCATTGATCCTATAGCCATTGGAAGTGCTGCCATGGATGCTGAAAAGATATTTTGAGAAATTAAAAAAGTACGAACGTCAAATAAATACGTACACACATAATGTAGTGTTCCAAGAGACTTAGACAAAGTCAATAACACAAATGTATTAAAAACATCATTATTGATCCACACACAGACCTCTAAGTGTGAGAATACCCAATTGAGGAAGCAGTGCTGCACGAAATCGAAGAACATCCTGAAACGAGTACGAAGAAGATCGCTAGACAGTTAAATATTTGCCATCAAATTGGAGAATTTTAGTGGATTTTTTGTTATATCTTTACCATATTTTAAGAGTACAGACATTACTTCCCATTGATTTTCCAAGGCGTGTGACCTTTTGTCAGTGGTGTCTTCAAAAAATTACACAAAATCCGCAATTTGAACCAATGATTCTGTTCACAAACGAAGCTAATTTTTCTCGAAATGCCATTTTGAATTTACACAATAATCATTTGTGGGCAGAAGAACAGCCCTATGCCGTAACCGAAATCCATTTCCAACATCAGTTTTCGGTTAACGTATGGGCAGGAATCATTAGCAACCGCTTTATTGGCCCATTCTTCTTGCCGGGTCGACTTGACGGACAGACTTACATCAATTTTCTTCAACAACAGTTGCCTTTGTTACTTGATGATGTCCCGTAAGTAATAAGAAACAATATGTGGTACATGCATGATGGTGCACCAGCGCATTTCAGTGTAGCGGTTCGTAATTATTTACAAACTGTTTATCCAAATCGTTGGATTGGCCGCGGTGGGCACCAAGAATGGCCACCAACGTCCCCAGACCTCAACAGTTTAGATTTATTTTTGTTGGGCTATCTTCAGACACTAGTGTGCACAAGTTCCATTAACACTGTAGAGGAATTAAGAGAAAGAATAGTTGCAGCTTGTGATAGAATAAAAAACACTCGAGGGATATTTCAACGAGTGCGCAATTCCACGAGAAGGAGGGCGGAAGCATGCATACTTAGTGAAGGGGGCAATTTTCAATAATTTTTGTAATCATTTCGTTGCTTTCAATGTTATGTTTATGTTGTGAGTTGGTGTTATTCATTACCTCTAATGTGTTTAATTTTTCTAATTAAATTATTAATAATTTAGAGATCATTTATTTTAAATTGAACGGGGAATTCAAAAATAATTTTCATTTGTCAAAAAACCATTGGCGTATCATTTTTTTCTTAAAAAGATATCGAAGTCAATACCCGTACGCACGCCACTGTTAAAGCTAAAAATTAATTTCGCATTGAAAAATATGCAACTTTATTAACTTTCACTACGTACTAAATATCAGTGAAATATCTGAAGCGGTTCTGAAAATATTAATTAATTTCCTTCCATTTTTTTCCTAAAACTTCAACACCCCGATTTTTTGTAAGGAAATATTTTTGGACCATTGTTTATAAAGCAAACTAACATTAATTTTTCATGTAGATTCACACCCTTAAATATTCGCAGATCATTAAGGAACACCCTGTATAGGTATAAACCTAAATTACGAAGAGCAACAACCGGATGTTTCTTTCTTGTTCCATAATTATGTTGATCAGAGTTTTTCATAAAATTTCTTCTGGCATGTAAAATTGCTTCAATCGGATAGATAGATGACACAGTTAGAATGCGCAGTTCTTTGAACCACATGTTTCTCTCATACGAATACGAAATTTCTAAGCGCCCTTTTTGCAATATAAACACTTTTAGCTCAAGATGAGAGTACCCTAAAATGATTCCGTATTTTGTCATTTAAAACGGGAAAGTCTTAACAGGTAATCCCAGCACAATAAAAAGGCTTATACAGTATTGCATCCTCTGTTGTTGAAGGAGACCAAGGCCTAGACATAGTTTTCTTCACACATGTTAAAATATAAAAAATTTGTCTGATCGACCTTAGGTTTTAAAATTAGATTCATAGTCACAACTGTATAAATCTATCTGAAAGAATGAGTGAAGACATTCTTACCTATCCAAGAAGCTTGCTCTGCATCAATAGTGATAGTGCTGTTGAATTCATGTTGTTCGTGTTCCAATTGAGGAAGTAATATTGCCGAATATCCAGATGTCATGCCTAAGCCCACAGTCAAGAGAAATGGTCCAAGCGCCAGTAAGCTCTAAAAAATCAGTCATTGTGGCAAAAGTTTTTCAGAATATTTCTAACCCCTTTTCATCTTTAGCCAGTACTGTTTTACTATTGAATAATAGCATACATTTGTTTTAAAAAATTAGCTTGAATGCATTTTTAAAACTAACTACTAACTAACTCTCTGAGGAATATACCGGTTGTTAATACAGCACTCAGAAAAACTTCAAGGGGTGATTCCTCGGTTGAATCTAAGAATATAAGTTCATATAAGTCTAGGTCTTATACTTTCTTGGAAATGAGTTTTTTTTTGGAAAACTCGTAATATCACTTTAGCAGAGCTAACAAATATTTCTCGAACTTTAGAAGGTCGAAAATTTAACTAAAAACGCTTTAGAAAAATGATTTATGAAAACCAAAGTCGCGATACTTCTCTACAAGCTGTTCCGTGATGTGCTTATATTTCAAGAAATTATTTCTCTGGCAATTTCATGAAGAAAAGCTTGTAACATATACTAAGTGACATATAAATCCGAACACCCAGTTTAAATGGTTTTATTTTAATAAAAGTTGGTGAATGTATTTATCTTACTGTAAATAACAAGTGAAAAAATTTTCAGCCTTATCAGTTGGACATTCCGGTTTTTATACTGCTTCTTTTTAATTCACTAACGCTCTAAAAATGAATATTTCAGCCGCAGTAAAGAATCAACGTTGGCGGATTTTGGTTCTTGACATCCTTTACGATCGGTTACGATTCCTAGAGTACGGAGACCTGTACGATTTCGTCAACTTAGTGAGTTTGATAGGGGCCGGGAAGCTGGACTTTCTTTTCGGGCAATTGCAGTTATAGTGCAAAGAAGTGTAGACACTGTGGTTAGGTGTTGTCAGGCATGGCTTCGAGAAGGCCGTACGCAAAGAGCAAGGGGCACTGGCCGCCGTAGAACAACAGACCGTGAAGATCGCCGCCTAAGATTATTGGCCTTAAGGGACCGTTTCTCCACTACCAGGTCCATTGCAAATGAATGGTTTGCAGAACACGGAAGACCTATTGGCATGCGAAGTGTTTACCAACGAATGAGAAGTTTTGGCTTGTTTTCATACCGGCCACACTGGGTCCTCCCTTTAACTCGAGAACACCGACGTAATCGCCTTGAGTGGTGCAGACAGCGGTCACTCTGGGATCAGGAATGGAACAGTATTGTCTTTAGTGACGAGTCTCGATTTTGTTTAGGCATGCATGATGGTCGTGCCCGGGTTAGAAGGCGACATGGTGAAAAGAGGAATCCACAGTTTTCTGTTGAAAGACATGTTCATCACACTGTTGGAGTTATGGTTTGGGGTGCTATAGCTTATGGTTCCAGGTCACCTTTAATCTTCATCAGAGGTAACATGAACGCGCAGCGTTATATCCACGAAGTTCTAGAACCCCATCTTTTACCCTATCTTGACACCCTGGCAGATACAACTTTCCAACAAGATAATGCCCGACCACATGTTGCAAGAGTCACAATAGACTTCCTTCAACATAATGATGTCACATTGTTACTATGGCCACCAAGATCTCCCGACTTATCCCCAATAGAGCACGTGTGGGATATGATGGGTAGGAGATTGCTCAATTTGCAACGTCCTCCTCAGACTCTAGAAGCACTTCGAGAGGAGTTGGTGGTTGCCTGGAATGAGATACCACAGGAGGACATTGACCACCTGATCAGAAGCATGCCTAGGCGCGTTGGAGAATGCGTAGCACACCAGGGTGCATCCACACATTATTAAAGGTCAAAGGGCTTTAAAGCAGTGCAATCATTTTGAATTTTTTATCATTTACTTATTATGCTTCATTAAGTACTTATACAAAATTTTATTAAAATAAAACCATTTAAACTGGGTGTTCGGATTTATATGTCACTTAGTATATTTCCGCGATGTCTTGTTTTTTATAAACGGTGTGCTTTTCAAAAAAAATTCTTTTTAATTTTTTATCATGGAAGTACTTTATTATTTTTAATTTTGGCATATTATAAGAGCAAAGTTCTTCTAGTAAACCACCAGTGGCGTCCTTCCGAACATAAATATCATGTGATATCTTGGTACGCCACTGATGTTTTTCATTGTGATTATCTGCAGTTACCGCCTGGACATTTTACTAGAGCCAACTAGAAAACATATCAGTGGCATACTAATTTTATTGTAAAAAATATTACAAAACACTTTTTTGTAGGGACGCCACTGGATGCTCAATAGTATGGCCTTTTACACTAAAATGTGTCAAAAACATTTTCCCCTAAAAATTCAATACCATGTAGCTAAAATCCATTGCGGACATTTGTTCATATAATCTTCCTGCCGTATTAGCACATCACTAAGAAACATGCCGCGCAATGCCGTATTTAAATACGTCAAACTTTCCCCTTTGGGGATTTGAGATATATAGACGTATTTTTCTTATACGAGTTAATCTAGATTATCGATGGTACGTCTGTATCAAAGAATTTGAAAAAATAACAGAAACGCTTAAAGGGGTATCTCGATTTTTAAGAAAAGCTTGACCCTCTCTATAGTATCTTAAAAGCGAAGCATTGCCCCGGGCCTATACTTATTATGAGCTTTTCATTCTACATTCTGAATCCGAAGTTCTGAAGTTTGGTAAGTATCTTCATCTATCAACATCCTGTATTTCTCAAGAGATATTACCTGTTTCAAAAATGGTGACGTCACTTTCCTACTCCGTTCTTCATTTTGGTCAGTCTTCCAAATTCTTCCTAGCCATAGATGAAGGGTATTTTGTACGTCGCTACAAAGATGCGAAGGTACTTTAAGCACATGTCTTACTTGCAGATACCACATGTCAAATTACAAGGGAATCAGAGAAAGATACTCAAACCCTACTATTTCAGCGTAAAATGAAGGAAGCTAGCTTGAAGTGCCTCATTAATTATTGTACTTGTACCATTCTTCTAACTCAATTACAGTCGCATATAATTTAGCAATCAGAAGGATTGGGGAGAAAGTGGGCCAAATACGTAACTTTGGCAAACAAAATGAATTCCGTCTTCACGACTTTGTAATTATTTTGTCTTCCTTGTTTACAATTTTGGAGGATACATAATTATTCATTATATTCGCTTACATAATCTGATACAAATTGTTTGCCTGTCCTGAACACAAAAACCTTTAGCTCCTAATATTGCGTTGTTATCAATATTAGTTTAGTTTTATAGTTTAATATCATATTATAGATAATAATTTTGTTAATATGATTTCCAAACAATATATTTCAATGTCTTATAAAGGAAAAAAAATATTTTGTAACCTTAAGAAAATAAATATTCCTTAAGATAAAATTAGGTAATGTCCGAACGATTTTGTGTCAGGGCTCGTAGGCCTGTGACCATCAGGGTAACGAAGAAATCATATATAAAAATATTAAAGTACGAGAGATGTCTTTTAAGTTTTGCATACAGAAACTTAGTAGGCCGCGCGGATCGAATGTCAGTACTGAATCTTAACCTCACACTAGTAAACTTAAATTCAAAGTTTCACAACGATACGTGCAGTGTTCTCACTACAGTGAATTTTTAAGTGTCACCAAGTCCTTAGAAAAATGGTACTCAACCGAGAACATTTTCGCGCCATAATTTATCACAACTTTCAGAGACAATTATCGCAACAAGAATGCCTTGCTGAGTTACTGTCTGTTTTCGGCAACGAAGCGCCACATCAGTCGACAATTTCCCATTGGTATGGAGAATTCAAACGTGGACGGGTGAGTCTTAGCGACGATCCCAGGGTGGGTGCACCAAAAACGGCAGTTACCCAGGAAAACGTCGATGCTGTGCGCAAACTCATCATTGAAGATAGACATGTGACATATCGCGAGATTGAGGCGTCCTTGAAGATCTCAAAGACCTCAATTCAAACAATTTTATATGAAGAATTAGGAGTAAGAAAATTAGTTTCTCCTGTTGACTGAAGAGCAGAAAGCAGCCAGGGTTAATTGGTGTCAAAAAACGCTTGACCGTTTCAATTCGGGAAACTCAAAAAATGTGTACAGTATTGTTAGTGGTGATGAATCGTGGATTTACTGTTATGAACCAGAAAATAAACGACAGTCGGCTGTTTGGGTGTTCCAAGGTGAAGAAAAGCCAACAAAAGTCATCCGTTCTCGAAGTGTTTCGGAAAAGGTCAACATTTGTGTCAAAAGCGGATCATATTGCAACAATTCCTCTTAATGAGCAAAAAACTGTTACTGCGGATTGGTATACCACTATTTGTATGCCAAAAGTCATCACCGAGTTTCGAAAAATCAACCCCGAAAGAAGAATCATCCTCCACCAAGACAATGCAAGCTCGCACAGAGCCCAAAAAACAAGGCAGTATTTAACGGAAGAAAACGTGGAATTATTGGACCATCCTTCATATAGTTCCGATCTAAGCCCTAACGATTTCTTTACTTTCCCGAAAATTAAAAACAGACTGCGTGGTCAAAGGTTCTAGTCACCAGAAGAAGCAGTTGACGCATTCAAAAATGCCGTTTTATATCTGCCAGCAAACGAGTGGAATAAGTGCTTCGAAAATTGGTTCGAGCGCATGCAGATGTGTATTAATCTTCGTGGAGAATACTTCTAAAGACAATAAAGTCATTTAAAACTACCTACCGTGTTGTTTTATTTCCATATGCAAAACTGAAAAGACATCCCTCGTATCATCGCTTTTATGTCACATATTTGTGAAGTATGTTCATCTAGTTCTATTCTATGCACTCCCAGAAACGTTTTAGATTGGTGGCATACTTCCTTCCTAAGATTTGTCATAGTCGTTTCGGGGCTGATGTTAGTAAGTCATAAACATCGACAGATTAATCAGCAATACAACGACACGTTATAACGGCTACAAAATTCTTGTCGTTACAAAGTGAACCTTAAAATGAACATTGAAAATCTCAGAAAATACCAAAGTTTATGTTTGGTTCATAAAATTTTAGTGAATAAGAAACCAGAACCTCTTTTAACAAATTTGGATACGTCAATGACTTGGCTAACAGAAATCGGCAATTATAACTTATATCTAACCACTTTACGTCTCTTCACAAAAAGAGTTTCTCTTATCCGGCTGCCAAGTTATACATTAATATTCCAGTTGAATTTCGAATTTAAATCTTGAATAATTCTAAAACGGAGTCGTGGTTGTTCATCAGTACATAATCCTCACTCACCACTCTACTTGAACAGTTTTGACATAAATTGGTCACATACGATATCTCTATTAGTTTTACTGAAAGCATATAAGCCTATAGCAATAGATCCCTGATCATATTTTTATTTGTTTTAGTCTGTAACTTCACTTGTTTGTTCAAAGGAGGTGGGTTGATAAGGGCCATTTTCGCCCATAACACACTATTTTCTTTTAAAGCTAAATGCATTTACAAATTGGAAATACTGCTCGCAAAGGTATAGATAAGAGATGATCGGCAGCTTTGGTGCCATGAACTATGATCAAGATGAACCAATAAATGCTCATAAATGCATGCGTGGTGTTGGTAGGTCAACAAAAGAACTTTAGATATTTTGAAAATACATCACTCATACCTTATACCACCTATTTGAATCTCAGTGAATATCTACCTGGTGATACTAAAATTTGATAAAATACTTAACCATACTTGATGCTGTTTAATGTAGTTTGTAGATTTAGAAGAAAAATTAAAGAAAACACATGGGAAATTTATTTTTCAGTTGTAATTACTTACTCCAAAGTGATCAGTTGAGGACTTCAATGTCTGAAAACCTCTAACAAACCTTCAATGCTTAAAAACTCCGTAAAATATTACAATTTTTGAGATTTCCAAGTACCTGAGTCAAAGGTAAAACCTTCCCCTACTAGACCACGAAGAGTATTTTGAGCGAATCCAGAAGGGGAGAGGTTCATGGGGGTCATGACCCACCTGGGCAAATCTACAATGACTACTAATATTTATGACTTTAGAACCTTTTTGACAAATTTAGTAAAACATATTTCTTGCAAATATGTAATAGTACAAACGGATAAAAAATCACCGGATTTTGAAAAAAATCACCACACCTGGCAACCCTGATCAATTTGTAAGCGCATTGATGACGGAATGAAAATGAGAGGGTTGCGTAAGTCTGGTTGCATATACGTTCAGCTTTACGCAATTTAGTGATTCTGCGTTCTTTGGATTTGTAGCATAGCATGGCCGTTAGTGCATTATTGCAAAATAAGCTTCATATGTTCTGTAATTAAAGTAATGAAAACTTTAGAGACTTTAGACGTTCGAACAGGAATATAAGAAAAAAACCTACTCTCGTGCGCCTTTAGCCCTGTGAGCAAATTTGATAAAAATACTTTTTGATGACAAAATCATAGAACAGCGCTCTGATTTCATTGAAAGGAGATGGTATGTAGTAAGCATTACAGTTATCTAACTGTAAGAGAGTTCATATCTCGCTCTCTTCATCTATCATTTCGTAAACTACTAAGGAAGTAGCCGTTCTTATTAGATCCCCAAGAATTGTATCACGGCAAACAAGGTACCTCCTGCTCAGTCGCAGGAAAAGTATCTTCGGAGAGCTATGTAAGTCCCCTTCTAGACAATGTAATAACTGATCTTCAGGAGCGATTATCCCCAGAGATACTTAATTTATCTAAGTCAGATGTTTTCATTCCCAGAGTCACTGATACTAGTGAGATATAGAAACCGTTAAGAAAGTCGCAACCGAGCACCACCAGTTTGGGTATTAATACGCCAACCTCAATAATTGTGAATGAATATCGGCTGTGGATGGATGGGATATTCCGCAGCCGATTCCTACTCCTATTGAAAATTGCGATGCTGAAATGTACCCAACATTGGCGAACTTTTGATTTTCGTAGATTCATTATCCATGCCGGCATTCGATTTGTTATTCTGAATTTCTCTCCATGATGCAGATGTATGCTAGATGGACAGTCTGAAATCTGCTTCAAACTCATGCTTGATCGATCCATATAATGTACATCAAGCACTGACCGGTGCCCTTATTCCGGACTTGTAGAAAAATTTGTAAGAAATGTCTTTCCCAACTCTACTGAGCTAGTCGGGGCAAAGCTCATACCAGTTAAATAACTATAGCTTATTTTATAGCAGGTGCAATACTCCAGTATTTAGGCTTTGTCTTCGCGGCTGATTCAGTATAAATAAAAATCAATCATGCAGTCTAATCAGACAACCGAAGGAAAAACGAGTCTCAAGGTTGGATTTCTGAATGGAGATACGAAAGGTTCTCGTAATCAACCTTATTGTGGAATCTCACCAAACAGTCCTGAACGCTCTAGTTTCTGATTACTGGCGAAAAAACGCTTTTTCAACTGACCCTTTTTAAGCTCATGTATTTTAATATTGTTTCGCGGTACCATAATGAAACGTCCACTGAACGCGCCAGTTTATTTAAGGTCAAGGAAAGCGATATTGAAGAGTGAAACCTACCTCTTCATCTTCACCAATAGCAAAATGAAGAAACGAAAGCTATATAAGCACAAAACGGTGTCACCACCGGCACATGTTGCACTGCCGACTGCCCACTAATGCGCACTATGAACACCGTTCACTTTCATTGTCGCTGACGCGAATTGTATTCGCGACTGAAGACTGAAGATCAAGGCAGGCCTTCGGTGGCTTCGCACGATATTGTTCCTTGCACTCCTGCTCTTCAGCAGACGCTGGAGTGTAGTAGGGGATTCGGGCGAACCTAGAAGGTAGCCTGAATTACGATAAAGCTCCAAGATATCAATGAATAAATGAGAAAATAAGAGGCATTTTGGAGTACAACAAATTTTAGGGCAATTGGCACCAACCGAGTCCGAGTCCTAACAAAGTGTGGCCTTGAGTTCTATCTTCAGGGTCCGAAAAAAATTGAACCACAGTACTGCCTATTTGTGGTTTTCCATAGCTTAGCACCGTCACAGTATACTCGTGTATAGACCAAATTTTGATGGATGACTGAGAATTGTCAGAAAGCTATTTATCTCAGCTTGTCGGAATTGGGCACGATCACGTCCCATCATAATCTTAGTTGGCCATTCAGCAAATTGGGCGAACTACCAAGGATATCACAGCGTCGTCGCGTCATGGTGAGATTATCTAGTAAAAACTATTTGGAACACTCAAGTAAAAGAATAACTAATGTTTCCATATATATACAGGGTGTTTCAGTTTATTATTGCATAACTTTAAGATTAAAATTAATGCAAGTCTATATAAACATGGGTCGAAAAATGCGTGGCTTTCGAAATACAGGGTGTTTAAATTTACTTTCTAAAATAGTTTTTTTTTAAATATTTCGAACAATATTTGATGTATAACAGTGAAAATTGGTATAAAAGGGTTTCTTGGTACGACAAAACGAATCATGGGCATAGTTTTACTGTAGCCGCTAGAGGGCGCTCTCTACTGTACCTGTAGTCTATTAAAATGACCGAAATTTTTTTCTTAGTACAATTTTTTTGCTTTTTGAATGAAAAACTGATTCTTCGCACTTTTCAACATAAAAAAGCTCTCCTGTGAATTTTTGTTATAGTTAGCCGTTTTTGAGATATTTCGATTTTTAAGGTTCGATGCATTTTTAATTATCTATGATAAAATAACGTTAAAAAGTCAGTATCTCGATAATTTTTAGAAGTAGGCTGTGCCTGCAAATATTTTTGAAATTGAAAGCAGAATAAGGTTAAACGTCAATTAGTTGACAGTTAGTTTTGTTGTCTGTTGAAACCTGAAACGTTTTTTTGCAATTGTGAATGCACGAAATTTAGTTTCTTTTACTTGTTTTTCTTTGGAAGTTTTATAAAAATGCCATTTTTATTCTCCAATCAAGAGTTAGCGGATATTCATTTTATGTATGGCTTTGTAAATGGAAACGCAGCAGAAGCAGCCAGAGAATACGCACGAAGATTTCCAAACAGACGTCATCCAACTCGCTCAGTATTTGCAAGAGTGCATCGCCAAATAATTGAAAATGGTTTTGGAAATCTCCAAAGGGATCAAAACATAAATGTTCGTCAGCGCAGATTTTCCCGTATGATTCTGCGTGAGTTTGATAGAGATCCGACCACAAGTGTTAGGAGAGTGTCTGGTGCCTTAGGAATTTCAGCAAGCCATGTTCACCGTGTTCTTAGAAATGACCATAGACGTCCTTACCATTTGCAACCTGTGCAAGGACTACAGCCAGGTGACGGAGAACGAAGAATCACATTTTGTCAGTGGATTCCTTATAGAACTGATAATAATAGGGAGTTTTTAAGTAACGTTTTATGGACCGATGAGTCATGCTTCACGTGAGAGTGGTAAATTTTCATAATCAACATATTTGGTCGCATGAAAATCCGCATGCATTTTGGGAAAGAAATGTTCAGCATGATTTTAGTGTGAACGTGTGGATTGGTATCTACCGTAATCGACTATTTGGACCCGACCTTTTGCCTGCAACGGTAAATGCTGCGACCTTCTTGGGATTTTTAAAGCCTGAACATGCAAATATGTGGGATGATGTTATGTTAGATTTAAGGAGATTGGCCTGGTTCCAGCTTGATGGTTGTCCAGCTCATTATTCGAGACTAGTTAGAAACTGGCTGGACGAAAATTATCCAGAAAGATGGAACGGCCGTGGAGGACCAGTCCACGATACCCTGACCTAAATCCATTAGATTTCTTTGTGTGGGAATTTCTAAAAGAAAAAGTGTACCAGACTCCCGTAACCACAAGAGATA